AGCCAATAATTTACCGCGTGGTTAGATAGTGGGCCGTCTTTATTGGTTTGAGTGGTTTCTCAAAAAAATTTGGGTGTAACGAACAAAAATAAACAAAAATTTATTATTACCATCCCAGACAAAATTAGAATACCATCCTTAAACTTTTAAGCCTCTAGCCGTAGCCTGAATTCAATCCCATCAGATTTAAAAGAACCTAGCTAGTTCAAGCAAGCACTTAGCTTGTATCAACAACCTCATTAAGTGACAGTATATAACATTAGACGCATCAAATAATATATAATATCATTACACAATCAAAGATATGATAAACCCAATGTGTGCGGATTGATATAATACATAAATTTAAGCATCTTTATTATTATTATTATTATGTTGACAGAAAAAGAAAATACAGGGCTAATTTGGATATCATAAATATGAATCCTATTATTATATTATTATAATATTGTGTCCACTTAAACAAACAGAGCTAGCTAGCTCTAACTCCTAGCTTGCCCATTTCTTAATATTCTTAAATTTTTCATATAATAATTACTCCCTCCGATCCGTAGCATTCATTATGGTTGATGTCTTAGCTTGCTGCCATGCATCATCTTCATGTTGGCAAACACCCCCGCCATGATCAAAGGCCTCATACAAAGGACCCAGAACAGAGCTAGGATGATTCTTAGCCACCACATCAAAGGTATTGCAAACAGTAGATAAACGCCAGAAATTACTAGGCCTACCCCCACCAGTTCTGCATTTCTTGCAAAGGTGGGCGTGCATTCTGGAACCAGAATGCCGTTCCAGATGAGAGCAAATCCCATCATGTTTGCCGCAACGACAAGCTGTTCCACAAACTGCAACTCATCCTCTCTGCTTCTCACTGCATAGAGACCAAGGCTTAAATTCACAGCTATCTGAAGGATTGCTTTGCTCAGCTCTTGCTTTTGCATCAACCCCATTACCAACATCTTCTTCTCCGACTCATCTTCTGATGAAACGTTTTCTGGGGGGAAGCTTAGGACCAACTTGAGGCTCTGATCTTTCACTATATTCCACAACCAGCTGGTGGTGGATGTGAAGATGATGAATGCGCCGGAGAAGGCCGCTTTCGTCACGTGCTCTGCTCCCACCATCACCATGGACGTTGAAAATCTGATCCTAATTTGAAGTGTATATATACTCGTCTCGGTTCACGTGCCTTTTCTCTCCCATGACATGGCAAATAAAAATCCACTATTTTCATCGAGTTTAATACTGTTGAGCATATAACCATTAATGTGCAATCCAACTATCAACTTAGGCTTTTAATTGAGATGAAGCACATGCTTCAATTTGTATCAGAGCCAGACCAAAAGTCATGGTTTCAAAACTTTATGTCACCCTATAAACGTAATCATTAATGTGCAATTCAACTATCAACTTAAACTTTTAGTTGAGATGTTAAGTTCTTTTTTTTCATGTAATCTCATTACAATTGTCTACATAATAGATATTGTCTTTATGATGTAGACCTCTTGAATATGATATAGACCTCTTGATTAGGATGATGTAGACCTTTTGTTTAGGATGTACGAGCCTTTTGTACTTGAATCCTTTTGTACTTGAATATGATAGCCTTTTCCTACAGTGGGTAAATTAAAAAAAAAATAAATAAATATTATTTATTCCGTATCATTGTTTTCAAATTTTACCCCTATAATCAATTAAATTAACCATGACTATTATATAAATTTCAATTATGACTCTTTAAAAAATTAAATTAAATTATAATTATATTAGTACAAATGTACTTACTTTTTCAATGTGGGATATTGATTGTATTAAATCTTTTTGGAGCTTAAAATTTTCAACTTCATAGATATATTTTAAGAAATTTACATTAATTAATTATCTGTTTTGAATATATAATATATCATTTTCGTCCTTTCATTTAGTAAAATCTAAGTCCATTTTGAACCAACATAAATAAAAAATGAGTCACGCTCAAAACTTAACCTCAAATGATCACATTAAATATCATTTTTGTTAATTTTTTAACAAATTTACCTTATTATTATTATTATAAAAAGTAAGAAAATTAGATAAACAAAAAACTGGAAGAATGATGAATGAAAATTATAAAGCTCGAGAAATGAAAAACTAGAGTAACGAAGAACAAAAATTAGAGAATTAGAAAAATGGAAACACTGAAAATTAAAAAACAAATAAATGAAGTAAACAATCCCTATATGGCTATATGTTGAGGAGCCCCTTTTGGGCTGTGTTCAGACTTGAGTTTTACTTAATAAATGCACAGTTTTCTTTTAAAAAAAAAAATCTCTATATGTTTCTCAAAATTATCATACTCTTTTTCATAAGTAATACACTTTCTCTCATAAGTAATAGTAAATTTATTCTTAATTAGTATTATATTTTCCTCATAAATATTACATTTTCATATAAATCTGAACTATCTCACATATAAGAATTCGTGAAACGATCTCACATAAAAGATATTTTAATGTTTAATAATTTTGATAACCTTCAAATTAAAATTTACTAAGTAATAAAATAATGTTGTACGTCAAACACTTTATACTCAGATGGCACCTATGTCCCTCTTTTTGAAAGAAGGTCATAGGATCAAACCATGGTAGTGGAGTATAAAAAAAATACTTTAAAGTCTTCTTAATTTATTAATTAAGGAATGATACAAAATTTTTGGATGTCGTTCGACGATGAGTGAATGCCGTATCGTGTCATGTTGACCACACTACTAAGGCTCTGTTTGGCAACGCTAAGCTAGGAGCTTATAGCTTATTTTAAACTACTAATAAGCTATAAGCTCTGTTTGGTAATGTTCCCAAAATAAGCTCATAGCTTAAAATAAGAGCTTATTTTGGAACGCTACTTTAGGTAGCGTTTCAAAATAAGCTACTAGCTTCCTAACTTTTTTTCCATCTTTACCCTTATTATTTTAAAGTAATAACATATTTTAACCTTATGAATTAAAACCCTTTCTCTTTCCCTATCCCAACTTTTACGTCAATCTCTTCCTTAGTCTTGTTTCCTGCTAAACAATTATGTTGAAACTTTAGCTTATTATTATTATTATTATTACTATTATTATTATTATTATTATTATTATTATTATTATTATTATTGATGTTGTTGTTGTTGTTGTTGTTGTTGTTATTAATGTTATTTTAAAATTAGCAACGAAAATTTAAGTCACACCTCTATGGAGATGAAGGAGATTCGCAATAATATTGCTACTTCATTATGAGATGCTAAATCATGATTATGCTAATAGTTTTATTTTAAAAAGTGTTTACTTTTTTTGGAAGATGAAATGTTAAATTTTAATATGTAAACTAACTAATTTAAATTTTATAAAGATGTCATTTTTAGTCTTTTTACATTTATCAGCTTATCAAAAAGCTAATTTTACCAAACACTTTCAGTCATAACAGCTAGCTTAACAGATTTTCAATTTTCAGCTCCGAGCTTATAGCTTTTCAGCTTTTCAGCTTTCAGCTCCTTGTCAGTTATCAGCTCCTAGCTTATAGCTTTTCAGCTAGGTTTGCCAAACAGAGCCTAAATCTTCGAAAATTAATGTTCTATTTCTGCAATTCTTAATGTTTCGTCGATCAAAACAAAGTTCTAAAACTTATACTGACTTTTTTGTCCTTCTCCTCTCTCATCCACTCACTAATTCGTTTCAATGTACCAAATTTTTCTAAGAACAACCTTAGGAGATTTTTCTTGAATTTTAATCTCAATCCTTATATTGTGCGTCCCGTCCTGTCGAAAATAATGTTATTTTGTTAAGTTGGGTAGGAAATTGATGTAACGGAATGTACGTGTATTATGTTATACAATTATGTACATTCTATTATACAATTATGTATATTAAAAATATGAGATTTTTTTAAAGAGCTATGAGTTCATGTATATTATGTTAATAGCTTATGTGTATTATGTTAACAGTTAGATTACATGTATTATCCCTTCAAAAAAGTTTGTATATATTCTGTTATATAATTATGTATATTTTATTATACAATTATTTACATTCGAAACAAGAGATTTTTTTTAAGAAGTTAACAATAAACACAAAAAATAAAATTTCTTTAAAAAAAAGTACAAAACAACGTCGTTTTAGACCAAGACGCACAATGTATCGTACACCCTAGGGCACGATATAATTTGCCAGCTCAATATATAACGATTAACACGCTGTAAAATGGTTGGGTGATTAAGATTTGGGTTGAATCAACCCAACAATTATTTGGGCCAACATGCCATGAAGTAATCCATTTCATCCTGGCAGAATTATCAAAATGATGGAAATTAACTAGCACCATAAACTCAACATGCCATGAAGTAATCCATTTAATCCATTTATATATATATATATATATATATATATATATATATATATATATATATATATATACAAAAGTTCAAATGCAACCGCGCATTCTCGTGCAAAATGTACCATAACTCTCACCTCTTAATTGTGCATTTTCGGACATTGTGTTGTGCTTTTATTCATACCTAATGGTGCGTTTTTGTGTGATGCGTACCTAATTTGTTCATTTCATTGTTGTGCAGTTTCTAACATTGTTGGTGCATATTTGCATAACTATTGATGTAACCGCACTAACCGCATAAGAAGGCGCAACCGGATGAGAATATAGATTGTGTTGTATTCAATCAACAATGTCTGAGAGTACAGAGAGCGAATATATAGATACTAGGACATTAATTTAGTCCTTCTTGGCTACTTTATCGCGAAAAAATTGATAGTCGATCTCAATGTGCTTCGTGGGAGCATGAAAAACAGGATTAGCACATAAATAAGTGGCCCCTAGGTTGTCACACTACAACTTTGGCGCAGAGATGGGTGGAAAACCGATTTCCTGCAGCAGAGAAACAAGCCAGGTGACTTCCGCAGAGACATCAGCTAGCCCCTTATATTCGGCTTCAGTCGAGGAATGAGCTACAGTCCAGTGATTGCGACACACTCAAGATATAAGATTCTTCCCAAGAAAGACAGTAAAACCACTAGTGGACTTTCTATCGTCCGGATTACCAGCCCAATCTGAGTCAGAATAAGCATGAATATCAAGAGAGTCAGAACAAGATATGTGCAGACCAAGATTGAGAGAACCATTGATATAGCGCAGGACCCTTTTCAAGGCCGCCCAATCTACAGTGGTAGGAGCATGCATATGCTGACACAGACGATTGACGGCATAGGACAAATCAGGACGAGTGACGGTAAGATACTGTAGGGCCCCTGCAACGCTGCGATAATGAGTCGGATCTGCATATAGAACCATAGGGCCATCCACGAGTTTGGTAAGTGAAATCAGCGTGGCCACCGGTTTGCAGTCAACCATACTTGCTCGTTTGAAAATGTCTTTCATGTGACGCTGCTGAGATAAAAGCATGCCACTAGATGATTGAACAGTTTCAATTCCCCAAAAAAAAAGACAGAACCCCATATCACGGACTTTAAATTCAAGAGACAGCTTATTGACCAGTGTAGCAACACGATCTGAATCAGAACCCATAATTAAAATATCATCCACATAGACAAGAAAATATAGCCGAATATTGTCACGCGAGTAAATAAATAAAGAAACATCTGTTTTAGAAGGCGAGAAACCCACAGAAACCAGATAATTATGCAGTCGCGTGAACCAGGCACGAGGTGCCTGCTTAAGCCCATATAAAGACCGCTGAAGCAAACACACGTGACCGGAAAGTGTCTTGTCCTCATAGCCAGGAGGTTGGCGCGTATACACAGTTTCAGCCAACTTTCCATTCAAGAATGCATTATGGATGTCCAATTGACGAATGGTCCACCCACGGGAAATAGCTAAGGATAGGAGACGTACCGTAGTCGGCTTAACCACAGTACTAAAAGTCTCAAAGAAGTCCTCTTCGGCAACCTGATTAAAACCTTTAGCAACCAACCGAGCTTTATGACTCTCAATCGAACCATCTGCCTTTCTCTTGGTTCTAAACACCCACTTGCAACCAACAACATTCATACCAGATTCAAAGGGAACAAGACGTCATGTATCATTCTGAACCTGTAACACCCCGAAATTTTAAAACTTTTAAAACTTATATAATAAAGGTGAATTCTCATTAAATCCCAAAATCAAACATAAGTGTGCGGGGTGCTATGCCACATCTAAGCTGGAGAACTCAGATGAACAGGCTAAACTAACTAAATATCATCAAAATAATGACAATACATAATCATGGCATGCAGGCTGAAAGGGAAACTAACTAATCTACGCTCCGGGGTCTACTCATCTGTGCCTGAAAGCCAAATATATCTGTTCAGCGAATGATGCTGGTAACCTACTCCAACGCGTTGAAATACATACATATATATATATATATATATATATATATATATATATATATATATATATATATATATATATATATATATATATATATATGAAAACCATTTTGAAGCAGGAAGATATAAACTTAGGAGACTCTAGCTTTAAAACCAGGGATAGACTCGACAGATAGGGATAAGCACATTAAGCGACGATAGACAGTTATATAGAGACAACATCATAAAGAACATGTATCCAAGGTCACCGTTCACTTTCAAATCATTCACATAATCATTCAATCATCATTCAAGTCACACAAGCACACTTTGGTGGCACCACGGGACCAATCGCATGCCCCGAACATGAAGGTTAGTACATATAGTACTAACACGGCCCTGCAGCACCCTACCTCATACCGCAGCATGAAGGGGTTGATCGCAACCAACCGTATAGACCGTCAACGAACTCGACGGCGGATTACAGCCCTACACACCGCTGACGCGCTCAGTCGGTGGATTGTGATCCTCTTTAAGGGGGGGAGGGGGGACTGCGACCCTACACACCGCTTGACGAACTCAGTCGGTGGGTCGTAGCAGATCAAGCCCTACACACTGCCTGAGGGACTCATTCGGTGGGCGATGATCTGGGAAGTATTGAGAAATCAAAAGGTTCTTATTTAAAGAAGTCTAAATTAGCTTTGTCTTCTTATTTTATTATTTTATTAATGTATTATACAATCATATAAGGAAATGCGTCCGATTAGAGTTTAAATTTATTCATACAAAATTTAGAATTTACATTTTTTTTTATTGATTTCTAAGTACAATTCTCTTAGTTAGTATTCATATTTTTAGAATTATAATATATATGAAATACAATTAGGAATAAATCAACTTAATTATGTGAATTTTTTCAATAAATTTATCTAAATATGTACATGATTAGAGATTATACAGTCGTTATATTATAAACCGCGGTGCATGTGCACTGCGGTAAAAAACGACGCCGTTTCCTTAAGTAAAGAAACGGCCTGCCGTTAGAGTTAACGGAGTCCGCTTGTTTGGTGTATTAAACACCAACTGATACTACAGTATATCTAAACCGACACTGCAGTTATATCAAAATGATACTGTACTTATAGTGAAATGAAACTGCAGTGTATATAAAATGAAACTGAATAACGTTTCACATATTTGAGTGTATATTGTACAATGAAGCTGTAATTATATCAAAATGATCATGTAGTTGTGTTTTAATGAAACTATAGTGTATATAAAATAAAATTAAATAACATTTTCACATATTTGAGTCTATAAATATTGAATGAAACTATAGTTATATCGAAATGAAACTGTAGTTGTGTTGAACTGAAACTGCAGTGTATACAAAATGACACTGAATAACAGAGTTACTTTTTGCAAAAGGGTGCGAAACGTTTGAAACAAACACTGTTTATTTTTATTTAAAAAAAAAAAAGACGCGCGGTGCATAATCGATTATGCACCGCGGTGCATGATATAATTTGCCGAGATTATATTAACCATACAAAATTTTAATTTTAATTTTATATGTTATGAAAATAGATACTTGACCAAATATATAAAAGTTCAACTATATTATTATATTGTGCATTATAACATCTTTTCATTGTTTTCTATTTTTAATTTTAAATTCATAATATAAAAAAATTCACGAGCAACGCACGGGTAAAACACTATATATTTAAAAATACAATTTGATAAATATCATAAATTAATTAGTACAATATCATTTCTGTTTATAATAATTAAAGAAAGAATAAATAATTCAAATATGTGAACCAATGATTTCAAAATGAAATTAATATACAGTTAGAAATAAATATAACATGATTAGATTTACTTTAATTAGTTTTAATTTCCTTAATGAAGTGACTTTTTTTATCCGTTTTTTTATGGGATACTAAGAGAGTGTTTGGATTGCTGGAAAATCTATACTATAATTAAAAACAAAATTCTATTTACTTGATTTTTCACACAAACAAAAGTAAATAGTAAAGGTAAATTAAAAAATGAACATAAATATTTCGCAATAATTCTCTACATCATCATCAATTAAAAATGGAACAAAAATTAGGTAAATTGGAAAATAAATGAATATTAATAATTGACTAAAAATTAAAAATGAAAAAAAAAAGAAACAAAAATTAGGTTAATTAGAAAAGGAAATTAATATTAATAATTGACTGAAAATAAAAAAAAAATGATTCATAATTGACTAAAATGGAAAAGAAAATTGTCAGATATTGCATTTTAATTTTTCACAATAATATTACGCAGTAGAATAAATCAAATCACAATTATATCATAAATCTTTCACAATTTTAAATAATGGAACATAAATTAAAAATTGAACGGAAATATTTCAATAATAATATTCTACATCATTCATTAAAAATGGTTCGGATAGGTAAAAATATCATTGCATATGATATTCTAATTGACTGAAAATAAAAAAGAATAATTGTCTGAAATTGAATATAATATTACTAATCGACTGAAATTATAAAAGGAAATGAATATTAATAATTGACTGCAAATAAAAAAAAGGGTTCATAATTGACTAAAATGATAAAAGAAATTGACAGATCATTGCATTTTAATTAAAAAATAGAACGAAAATATTTCAATAATAATATTCTACATTATCAATAGTAAATGCATGTTTTAAACAATAGTAAAGGTAAATTAAAAATAGAACGAAAATATTTCAATAAAAATATTCTACATCATCAATTAAAAATGGAACGAAAATTAGGTAAAAATATCAATGCATCTAATATTCTAATTGACTAATTGACTGGGAAAAAAAAAGAATAATTGGCTGAAAATGAATCTGATATTACTAATTGACTGAAACAAAAAGGATCACTAATTGACTGAAATTCAACCATTATATATTTTCACCCGAGACACCCATTCTTTTGGACTAAAGGTGTTAGCTCTAGACGAAGATGGACAAGATTGTGTTGTTACTACCAATGTTGTCTACAAAGAGGTTTCAATAGTGTGTAAATACAATCTTAGATATTATGTTTTTTTTTAAATGACAAAATTGCTATATATCTAGACAAAAATTATATTTTCCATACAAATAAATTAGGATATCAATTCATTTTTATAACTGAGTTGCTAGAGAACGAGCACATTTTCTTAATTTATAAAAATACTGAACAATGATAAATAAAATCTCCAAAATTACAGCACCGCGTGCATACATCTACATATTAGCTATTAATTTGAGCAATTAATAACATAAAAACACATAAACGATCCAAACCATACATTCAATTGCACTATATAATATTTGATGTTCTATTTAAATAATTATATATCGATCCAAATATTCTTAATATATTACAACAAATTCATTCCGTGCATCGCACGGGTGCAAATACTAATAATAATAATAATAATAATAATAATAATAATAATAATAATAATAATAATCTAACCTCAGTCGATCGCGCCCGCCGACCCCGACAAAAAGTAAGCATAAATATATTCATGTACGCAAACGATGGTTTATGCGGCAAACCCAAAACCCAAAACATAAAATATAGACTCTATCCAGAAGATACATCAGAGCACACACAAGCTAGCACGGGAAATCTTCATCTGCTTGTCTTGCAAAAAAGTATGGTGCCAGCAGAGAGAGTCTATACAAAATTAAAAATAAATATTTTTATTAACAAAAATGTTAATTATGTCATGGTTCAATTCATGATGTTTAAAAAAAAAATTCTTTTGAAAGAGTTGTATAATTTTTTTCTTATCAATATTTTGAAATACACCTTTTTCAATAAAAAATAATTAATACAATTATTCATCAAATTATTTATCATTCGATTAAAAATAATTAAACAATACACCTTTACAATTTTCATTGCTAAAAAAGCTCTCTAAACACTAATTACAGTCACCTTTTTTTTTTTTAACATATAAACAATTATATTTTGTATTTAAATATTTATTTCTGTTTTTAAATTGAGTGGTGCTAATAATAATAATAATAGTAATAATAATAATAATAATAATAATAAACGGTGTGAGGGCCCTTAGGGTTGTGGTTCAGCTCTTTGGAAAGAACAATAAAAACGGTCTAAGTATTTAAAAGACTATCACTTTCTCATCATATATAATTAAGCATTTAAAAGGCAACCTCTTTCTCATCATAATTAAGAAACTTTAAGAAGCATAATAATCACAATATAACCAGAACCTATCATCACTAAAAAGAAATCATGAGTAAACAACATTAAGAACATTGTCCACTCAAAAAAAAAAAAAAAAAAACATTAAGGACATCGTTGGCCAACAAAATATTCTAAAACTATTCAGAAATGATCCAGTACTAAAAAATAAATAATAATAATTAAAAAAAAAAAAAAAAAAAAAAGAAGAAGAAGAAGTCAATTCAAGTAGCTATCGCCCTGCCCCGCCCCTTCAATATTCAATCTAACAATGCAATTGTTGATTAACCACGCACGCATGAATCAACATTTAATTTAACAATCCCAAAATTCTTGACCTCTTATAGATACGGAGTATAATTTAATAAAGTAAGCATAAGTATATTCATGTATGCAAACCCAAAGGCCAAAACACAAAATATAGAGTCTACCCCAGCCCCAGCCAAAAAGATACATTATCAGA